TGTTATTCCACTAACATTTGGGGGTTGCATCTCACTTAACATAATATGCATGTGGACATAATACACCATTCATGTGACGTTACACACACAGTCAAGAAGCAGAATATAAGACTGGAGCTCTTTATGAATCTGGGTAACATTTTGTTTGTGGATGAGGTTTGATATGTGGGCCGATTAATCTGGTAGAGTTGAGTTGTAATGTAGATTAGGAAAATGTACATGACAGAAACCTAAATCTCTGTAATGACCGGGTGTTGGCACGTCAGAACGAATATGACCATGATCAGAGAATGATGTATGTTCAAACATGATATTTTTGGTCGTGTGCATGTTTTTATATGTTTATGCCTGCAATATCTGTTTTCGCAATATAAAACCACATATAAAGCAATACCAGGATTTGCTCGATCAAGATTATATGATATTCGAAAGATGGTTGATTTTTCTGAGAGAGAGAGAGAGACTCACTCACTCACTCTGTTTTTTTGGAGCGTGTCTTTGTTTGGGAAGGCCTGTGAGTTACTGTGTAGCAGCCACCACGCCGTCGCCGCTCATTTCAGCAATATGCAGCAGCACGAGGTCTGCCTGTGTGGCGCTTTCCACCCGCGTGGTTCTGAAACACGCTCTAGGGCTCAGTGGCAGCGTGCTCCCCCTCTCTCTACCTACCTACATCCGTTGCTCTAACGAGCACGGATTAACCAATAGCAAAGCTGATGTATTATTGTTTTCATATTAACATACATTCGTTGTAGTATTGTGATATGATGTAGGTTACAGCTTGTGATTGTGTATGATGGTATAGAGTTTATTCCGCTGGAGGCGTTGCGCCCTTTTTATTGCGGGTGTAAATCATGCAGAAAGATTCCGGTGTTGCTTGGCAGACCTGGAGGGATGACATGTAATCCCGCAAACCTTTTATATCCAAGACCCGATTGGTGGTCAAACAATGTTTATTTTTTTCATCAAAATAATATTTACTAATCTATTCAAATCTCAGGTAATTAGTTCATGTCATGGAAATATGACAGTGAAGTGTGTCTGTGTGTGTTAGAGCGAGAGAGAGAGTACATTTTTATTGTTTATTTCACTTTTGTTTACTATCTACTTCACTTGCTGTGGCAATGTTAACATACGTTTCCCATGCCAATAAAGCCCTTAAATTGAATTGAATTGAGAGAGAGGGAGGCTAGAGAGAGTTAGATAATATGCTCTCCACTCCAACTCCCTTTTCATTTGCTCTACAGCCGGCTGTGCGATCGATTATTATTATTCTGAGCCACGTGGGTTGCTCTGATGACATGCTCAGGCTGCGCTTGCGTTCTTTTACCACAGTACGGCAACAAAGAGCCTTTGTCACCCACACAGATATCAGGAAGCATTGAGACGGTGGGAATACATATAGAATGCTTAGGGAATAATACCTAGACTTGTATAACCACCACTGTACAACCTCTAATACCTCTTTTAACTCTACAATGATTTATAGTACAGCTGTTCACATACTAACATGTCATCTGTAATTACTTTACGTAAAAAGTGGGGCGTCAGGTAGCTTAGTGGTTAAGAGCGTTGTGCCAGTAACCGAAAGGTCGCTGGTTCTAATCCCCGAGCCAACTAGGTGAAAAATCTGTCTGTGCCCTTAAGCAAGGCACTTAACCCTAATTGCTCCTGTAAGTCGCTCTGGATAAGAGCGTCTGCTAAATAACTTAAATGTAATAATGTATGCACACATGACTGTAAGTCGCTTTGGATAAAAGCGTCTGCTAAATGGCATTTATTATTATTATACAATTTAATAAGAAAATGTAGATTATAATATAACAACTTAATCAGATGATTATAATGATAATAGATCATTATATGTGTTTGTGTATTTGGATCCCCATTAGCTTTTGTCGAAGCAGCAGCTATTCTTCCTGGGGTCCACAAAAAAACACAAAACAAACACAAAACATGACAAGTAACAAAACACTGATACACTGATAGACAAGGACAGTCACACACATTTTAAATACAACGAAATACAATACCTCAACAAAAAGTTATGTCTGTGTGTGTGTGTGTCTGTGTGTGTGTGTCTGTGTGTGTGTGTCTGTGTGTGTGTGTTTGTTTATGTGTGTCCCCTCACAGTCCCCGCTGTTCCATGAGTTGTTGTTTAATCCGTTTTTAAAAGGTAATTTTGCTGTTTGCTTGAGTAATTTGAGAGTTCCTATGTGTACATGAACTCTGATAATTGCATCATCTACTACAGCATGCACTCATTTGACTATGAGAAAATGAAGGTGTTCCATGCCATCATGGCTCTGAATAAAACTGTGCGTTGCCGTGAATTCGTTTTGGACTTGGGGGCTGTGACGAGACCCCTGGTGGCATGTCTTGTGGAGTAAGTATGCGTGTCTGATACGCTACTAATAGTGAGTAATATGAATAGTATAGTAGCAGTACTAATAGTATTACACATTAAATGGAGTACTGTTTTTCTCGCATGTTGAATTGCTATGGTGCTTTATCTGTTTCCCAAGAGCTCATAATTTCACTGTATAGCTTTAAATGACTGGTAAATCCTGATTGGTAGCTTGTGTTAGGCGCTGTGCACCAATAGCATGCAGAACTGTACAAAGAGATCTACTCCCTCCCCCCAGCCTCAGCACCGTAACCCTTACAATGCTCAGAGCTGGAGGAGAAAGAGGGATGTGCCTAGACACAAAGCGTCTCCATCACTGTAAAATATGATACACATTCGATTACCGATTGATATTCACTACTCCTGTAAAAGGGCGAATTTTGGATGAAATAATATATTCGTTTTGATGTGTCGTGGAACAATGTGGAATAGACTGCCTGTGTGGCAGGTGCTGCTATGGTGGCATCATTTCTTTCTCTTTTGGAGTGAAATAGACGGACAGACTCGCTACACCATCCCGGAGGAACTAAAACAGGGCTCTGTAGTAGGAAATCTAGCCAAAGATCTGGGTTTTGGACTATCTGAGATTTATCGTCGTAAATTACGAATAACCTCGGAGGCTGGTAAGCAGTATTTCAGTGTGGATTTGGGGAAAGGAGAGCTGGTCGTCAGTGAGAGGATAGACAGAGAGGATCTGTGTGGACAAAGAGTTCCGTGTCTATTGCCTTTGGAGGTAGTGATTGAAAATCCTTTGCAGCTTCACCGAGTTGATATTGAAATACAGGATATCAATGATAATTCTCCCAGCTTTCTCACTAAAGAAAAAGTATTAAAGATTGCAGAGTCAATAAACCCAGGCGCAAGATTTCCACTCGAAAGCGCACTGGATCCTGATGTCGCTGCAAATACAATACGCTCTTACAGCATTAATAAAAACGACAATTTCAAATTGAATGTCAAAAATCACAAGGATGGTAGCAAAACCCCAGAACTGGTCCTTGAAAGGTCTCTCGACCGGGAGAAGCAACTTGTTCATAAGCTTATTCTCACCGCTGTAGATGGGGGTGATCCAGTGCGTTCAGGAACCTCTGAGATTAGTATTACGGTACTTGATATTAATGATAACGCACCGCAATTTGAGAGACAACTTTATGAGGCTAATGTTAACGAAAATGCAGCACCTGGCACTCAGATTTTACGAGTAAAAGCGACAGACCCGGACGAGGGACTAAACGGGGAGATAGAGTATGTATTTGGAGAACAAACGCCAGACTTAGTGACTGCATTGTTTGATATAGACTCTTCGACAGGAGCGATTGTAATAAAAAGACAACTCAACTATGAGCAGACGAGCTTATATAAATTTGACATAGTCGCTAAAGATAAAGGCAACCCGGAGATGGACGGGCATTGTGACGTTGAATTTAAAATTATTGATGTTAATGACAATATTCCAGAGATAATTGTGACATCTCTAACGACACCTGTTCCAGAAGATTCACCTATCGGAACCGTGATAGCTTTGATAGGCGCTAAAGACTCCGACTCAGGGGACAATGGGAAGGTACGGTTAAGCGTGTCACCAAAGTCTCCATTCAAGTTGAACCCGTCCGTATCCAAGCATTACGCACTAGTAACTAATGCGCCTCTTGACCGTGAGCTTTACTCTCAGTATAGTATAGAAATCAGTGCGATGGATTCAGGGAAACCCCCTTTATCCAGCAAGAAAACAATCACTGTTGATGTGTTAGATGTGAATGACAATCCACCGCTATTCTCTCAGCCCTCGTACACAGTGTATGTGAAAGAGAATTATGCACCAGGGAAACAACTATGTTCAGTTTCTGCCACTGATTCAGACCTAGGGGATAACGCCAAAACCTCCTACTCCATCCTAGACTCCAAAGTGCAGGACGTCTCTGTATCCTCCTATGTGTACATTAACTCTGACAACGGCAGCATCTACAGTATGCACTCATTTGACTATGAGAAAATGAAGGTGTTTCAGATTCTGGTGCAGGCAAAGGACCACGGCTCTCCCTCTCTGAGCAGCAACGCCACTGTCCATGTTTTCATTCTGGACCAGAACGACAATGCCCCCGCTGTTATTTACCCCTCCCCTGCCCTGGGCTCGCTCTCTCACCAGAAGATGCCCCGCTCCGCTAAAGCAGGCCATCTCGTTACTAAGGTAACGGCCGTGGACGCAGACTCGGGCCATAACGCTTGGATCTCGTATAAGCTTGCGGAGGCCACAGACGCGTCTCTGTTCAGTGTCAATCTTTACACAGGGGAGGTGAGGACTAAACGCGCTGTGTCCGAGCAGGACGACTCCTCTCAGAGGCTGCTTATAGAGATACAGGACGACGGGGAGCCGGTCCAGTCCGCCACGGTCACAGTGACCATCCTGGTAGAGGACGGGCTCCACGAACCCATCTTGGACCTACGGCAGAAAGCGCCAGAGCCCAGGAAGAAAAGCGGGAGAATTACCCTGTATTTGATCCTCTCTCTGGCCTCGGTGTCCGTGCTGTCTCTGGTGACTTTTATCATCTTAGCGGTCAAGTGCATTAGAAACAGCAGGAGCAGCGGTAGTTGCTGCATGAGACGGGAGGACTTTGACGGCTACAAGAACCCCAACAGAAACCTGCAGATCCAGCTCAACACTGACGGGCCTATTAAGTACATAGAGGTCCTGGGAGGGGACATGTTGTCTCAGAGTCAGTCCTTCAGGTCCTGTCTCTCTCCCATGTCAGAGTTCAGTGATTTCACCTTCGTTAAGCCCAGCAGCACCACTGACTTTAAGGAGATGATCAATGTCCTAGATGCATCTTTACCCGACAGCACCTGGACCTTTGAGAGCCAGCAGGTGAGAAGTGACGTATAATGTATTATGATGATTAAGTTTATCGAATGTAGGCTGTTTTATGACGTAGTATCAACATACAGTTTTGTGTTGTAACATTACACAAATCAAAGCTTGATGTTTTGGCAGTATTTTCATGACTCTGTATCTAACAGCCTCCAATCTGTGAATAAATGTACCACTGACATTTGTGTTCAGTTGTTATAATTTAAGCAATAGGTTATTTATTCAGTTGAAAATAACACATTTTCAGTATTCATCAAAATGGTGCAATGGTTCCCTTTAGTTCAATCCAGATTATCTTGTAATAATTTAGCATTCGACATTGGCTACTGGTAATGACTAAAATCCATACTCGTACAGTTTGAATGATTTCAAAATATCCTCTGAGGTAGTTTATCCTGTTGGTTGTAATCCTTAGAGACCTTATAATCTATATTATTACTGTAGTGGGTGTTTTGCGTGATTCTGTGCCTATCTGACTGGCTAGTGGACGACTGAGGGTTTCTGCACCATTGACAGCGACATTCCCGTTGAATCAACTTTGTGGTTTTGTGTGCGCGATGACATACAGTACCAGTCAAAAGTTTGGACACACCTACTCATTCAAGGGTTTTTCTTTATTTTTTACTATTTTCTACATTGTAGAATAATAGTGCAGACATTAAAACTATGAAATAACACATATGGAATCATGTAGTAACAAAAAAAGTATTAAACAAATCAAATATATTTTATATTCTTCAAAGTAGCCACCCTTTGCCTTGATGACAGCTTTGCACACTCTTGGCATTCTCTCAACCAACTTCACCTGGAATGCTTTTCCAACAGTCTTGAAGGAGTTCCCACATATGCTGTGCACTTGTTGGCTGCTTTTCCTTCACTCTGCGGTCCAACTCATCCCAAACCATCTCAATTGGGTTGAGGTCGGGTGATTGTGGAGGCCAGGTCATCTGATTCAGCACTCCATCACTCTCCTTCTTGGTCAAATAGCCCTTACACAGCCTGGAGGTATGTTGGGTCATTGTTCTGTTGAAAAACAAATGATAGTCCCACTAAGCGCAAACCAGATGGGATGGCGTATCGCTGCAGAATGATGTGGTAGCCATGCTGGTTAAGTGTGCCTTTTGAGTTCTAAATAAATCACAGACAGTGTCACCAGCAAAGCATCCCCACACCATCACACCTTCACTGTGGGAACCACACATGAGGAGATCATCCATTCACCTACTCTGCATCTCACAAAGACACGGCGGTCGGAACCAAAAATCTCAAATTTAGACTCATCAGACCAAAGGACAGATTTCCACCGGTCTAATGTCCATTGCTCATGTTTCTTGGCCCAAGAAAGTCTCTTCTTATTATTGGTGTCCTTTAGTAGTGGATTCTTTGCAGCAATTCGACCATGAAAGCCTGATTCACACAGTCCCCTCTGAACAGTTGATGTTGAGATGTGTCTGTTACTTGAACTCTGTGAAGCATTTATTTGGGCTGCAATTTCTGAGGCTGGTAACTCTAATGAACGTATTCTCTACAGCAGAGGTAACTCTGGGTCTTCCTTTCCTGTGGCAGTCCTCATGAGAGCCAGTTTCATCATAGCGCTTGATGGTTTTTGTGACTGCACTTGAAGACACTTTAAAAAGTCTAGAAATTTTCCGGATTAACTGACCTTCATGTCTTAAAGTAATGATGGACTGTCGTTTCTCTTTGCTTATTTTTTTATTTTTTATTTAACCAGGTAAGCCAGTTGAGAACAAGTTCTCATTTACAACTGCAACCTGGCCAAGATAAAGCAAAGCAGTGCGATAAAAACAACAACACAGAGTTACATATGGGGTAAAAAAACATAAAGTAAAAAAATACAACAGAAAATATATATACAGTGTGTGCAAATGTAGCAAGTTATGGAGGTAAGGCAATAAATAGGCTATGGTGCAAAATAATTACAATTAGTATTAACACTGGAAAGCTAGATGTGCAAGAGATTATGTGCAAATAGAGATACTGGGGTGCAAAATAGCAAAATAAATAACAATATAGGGATGAGGTAGTTGGGTGGGCAAATTTCAGATGGGCTGTGTACAGGTGCAGTGATCGGTAAGGTGCTCTGACAACTGATGCTTAAAGTTAGTGAGGGAGATAAGAGTCTCCAGCTTCAGAGATTTTTGCAATTCGTTCCAGTCATTGGCAGCAGAGAACTGGAAGGAATGGCGGCCAAAGGAGGTGTTGGCTTTGGGAATGACCAGTGAGATATACCTGCTGGAGCGCAGACTACGGGTGGGTGCTGCTATGGTGACCAATGAGCTAAGATAAGGCGGGGATTTGCCTAGCAGTGATTTATAGATGGCCTGGAGCCAGTGGGTTTGACGACGAACATGTAGTGAGGACCAGCCAACAAGAGCATACAGGTCACAGTGGTGGGTAGTGTATGGGGCTTTGGAGACAAAACGGATGGCACTGTGATAGACTACATCCAATTTGCTGAGTAGAGTGTTGGAGGCTATTTTGTAAATGACATCGCCAAAGTCAAGGATCGGCAGGATAGTCAGTTTTACAAGGGCATGTTTGGCAGCATGAGTGAAGGAGGCTTTGTTGCAAAATAGGAAGCCGATTCTAGATTTAACTTTGGATTGGAGATTCTTAATGTGAGTCTGGAAGGAGAGTTTATTTGAGCTGTTCTTGCCATAATATGGACTTGGTCTTTTACCAAATAGGGCTATCTTCTGTATACCAACCCTACCTTGTCACAACACAACTGATTGGCTCAAATGCATTAAGAAGGAAAGAAATTCCATAAATTTACTTTTAACAAGGCACACCTCGTAATTGAAATGCATTCCAGGTGAATAACTTATGAAGCTGGTTGAGAGAATGCTAAGAATGTGCAAAGCTGTCATCAAGGCAAAGGGTGGCTACTTTGAAGAATCTCAAATATAAAATATATTTTGATTTGTTTAACACTTTTTTGGTTACTACATGATTCCATATGTGTTATTACATAGTTTTGATGTCTGCACTATTATTCTACAATGTAGAAAATAGTACAACTAAAGAAAAACCCTGGAATGAGTAGGTGTGTCCAAACTTTTGACTTTTACGCTATATATATATTTTTCAGACTAATTGCATCTCAGTCAATATTTTATGTGAAGAAAAAGGTGTATAACGGTATTTTAAAAAAACGCGTCTCGATCCACGGGGCTCTATTAGAATGGCAATGTTTTGAATGTTAGAATGTCTGTGCACAATGGAAGAATATGCTTTTTTTTAAATCCTTGTTTACATGTTTACACATTATTCTCTATACTTCTGGCTGCCGTTCATATTTTTTCACATCAATATGGACAGTATGTTATGTTGGAAAATACAGTTACATTCTCCCTTCTCCCTGTGTGTTGTGAGAGATAGGGTACTTATAGAGGCAGGCTGCTGTGGCTTTAAGGAGTCTGTTCTGTTGGTCTGTTATTGGATGGTGGATATGTGCGCTGTGCACCAATAGCATGCAGAACTGTACAAAGAGATCTACTCCCTCCCCCCAGCCTCAGCACCGTAACCCTTACAATACTCAGAGCTGGAGGAGATAGAGGGATGCGCTCACACAGACGAATATATAATGTAATTTAAACACATTATCCTCTCCGATATCCAAACTTTTGAATAATGCTAAATGGAATATTTATTCTGGAGATGTATTTTGATATGAAGTTCTTCGTTCTGGACAGTGTTTCAATAGAAATTGTGTTATAACGGATCAGGGATGACAAAGACAATGGGATACCGAGACTGGAGATGGCTGGCTCTTTGGTGGCATCATTTCTTTCTCTTGTGGAGTACAATAGACGGACAGACTCGCTACACCATCCCGGAGGAACTGAAACAGGGCTCTGTGGTAGGAAATCTAGCCAAAGATCTGGGTTTGGGACTCTCTGAGATTACTGACCGTAAGCTACGTGTCGCCTCTGAAGCTGGTAAGCAGTATTTCAGTGTGGATGTGGGGAAGGGCGAGCTGGTCGTGAATGAGAGAATAGACAGAGAGACTTTATGCAGACAAAGCGCCAGCTGCGTTTTACCTCTGCAGGTTGTCATTGAGAACCCGTTACAGTTGCACCGTATTGAGGTGGAAATACGAGACATAAATGACAATTCTCCTAATTTCTTAACAAAAGCTCGAGTTCTGAAAATGGCTGAATTGACAGCTGTAGGCGCGCGTTTTCCTATGGAAAGCGCGGAGGACCACGACGTGGGAAGCAATTCACTTAAGTCCTACATTCTTAGTAAAGACGAATGTTTCAGTTTAAAAGTTAAAGAAATTGAAGGTGGACGAAAAATCCCAGAGCTAGTGTTAGAGAAGCCGCTGGACAGAGAGACAAAAGCTGTCCATGAGCTATTATTGACGGCTCTAGATGGAGGCACTCCCGCTAGGTCTGGAACTTCAAAGATCACGGTCAATGTCCTTGATAATAACGACAATAGTCCCGTATTTCAGAAAGCTGTATATAAAGTAAGGGTTAATGAAAATAGCGAAAAGGGCACTTCCTTGATTAAGCTTGAAGCTACTGACTCAGACGAGGGTGTCAACGGAGAGATAGAATATTCATTCGGCGAGCATACACTAGAGTCGGTGTTATCGGTGTTTGATATTGATGCAGTAACGGGGGAAATGTTTCTAAGAGGGGAATTAGATTATGAAAGTGCAGCTTCTTATCGTATAGACATTACTGCTGTAGACAAAGGCATCCCAGAAATGGAGGGACACTGTCGCATACAGGTAGAAGTAATAGACGTGAATGACAATGCTCCCGAAATTGTCCTCACCTCCAAACCTAGTCCAGTGCGCGAGGACGCACCCAGTGGCACGGTAGTGGCATTGATCAGTGCCCGTGACCTAGACTCCGGGAATAACGGTAAAGTAACGTTACATCTTCCAAAAGGCCATCCTCTCAGTCTGAAACCGTCCTTTTCTGATAATTACGCACTGGTCACCAGTGGTGTTTTAGACCGAGAGAGCTTCTCAGAGTATAATATTGTGATAACAGCCACTGATTCGGGCTCCCCTCCCCTGACTACTAAGAAAACTATATCAGTCAGTATCATTGATGTCAACGACAACCCCCCTAAATTCAGCCATACTTCCTATAATGTATATTTAAAAGAGAATGGACTACCAGGCTCCATACTATCCTCAGTTTCTGCATCTGACCTGGATTTTGGGAATAATGCCAAGATCTCCTACTCCATCCTAGATTCGAAAGTGCAGGACGTCTCTGTGTCCTCCTATGTGTACATGAACTCTGATAACGGCAGTATCTACAGCATGCACTCGTTTGACTATGAGAAACTGAAGGTGTTTCAGATTCTGGTGCAGGCAAAGGACCACGGCTCTCCCTCTCTGAGCAGCATCGCTACTGTCCATGTTTTTATCTTGGACCAGAACGACAATGCCCCCGCTGTTATTTACCCCTCCCCTGCCCTGGGCTCGCTCTCTCACCAGAAGATGCCTCGCCCCGCTAAAGCAGGCCACCTGGTTACTAAGGTAACGGCCGTGGACGCAGACTCGGGCCATAATGCCTGGATCTCATATAAGCTGGCTGAGGCCACAGACGCGTCTCTGTTCAGTGTCAATCTTTACACAGGGGAGGTGAGGACTAAACGTGCCGTGTCCGAACAGGACGACTCCTCTCAGAGACTGCTTATAGAGATACAGGACGACGGGGAGCCGGTCCAGTCCGCCACGGTTACAGTGACCATACTGGTAGATGACGGGCTCCACGAACCCATCTTGGACCTCCGGCAGAAAATGCCAGAGCCCAGGAAGAAAAGCGGGAGAATTACCCTGTATTTGATCCTCTCTCTGGCCTCGGTATCCGTGCTGTCTTTGGTGACTTTTATCATCTTAGCGGTCAAGTGCGTTAGAAACAGCAGGAGCAGCGGTAGTTGCTGCATGAGACGGGAGGACTTTGACGGCTACAAGAACCCCAACAGAAACCTGCAGATCCAGCTCAACACTGACGGGCCTATTAAGTACGTGGAGGTCCTGGGAGGGGACATGTTGTCTCAGAGTCAGTCCTTCAGGTCCTGTCTCTCTCCCATGTCAGAGTTCAGTGATTTCACCTTCGTTAAGCCCAGCAGCACCACTGACTTTAAGGAGATGATCAACGTCCTAGACGCGTCTTTACCTGACAGCGCCTGGACCTTTGAGAGCCAGCAGGTGAGAATTGACGTAAGCCGATAGTTTTTGTGTCGATAATTATTCTCGTATGTAGACTGTTTTGTGATGTAGAGTATCAACATACAAGCCTACCAAACATCCTGCTGGGAACACACTTGTTGAATCAATGTTTATTCCATGTAATTTCAATGAATTGTATGTCTGTGCCCAGTGGGTGCTTGTTTTGGGTTTCAACAGTCAACAAATGGAAGCTTGTCCTTTTGGCAGTATTTTCATTTATGCATTATGAAATACAAATATTACTGCAGGTTAATGTTGAGACTCAGTATGTCACATACTATAGCCTGTGAATAAATTGGCTAGCGATTTAACTATATGCAACTGAAGTTGAAGTGCAATTTATAATTCAAGCAGTATTTTGTAAGCTTAAAATAGGATTGCAAAATTATGGTAACTTTCCCCAAATCCCCTGGTCCTCCAAAAATCCTGGTTGAATGATTCCCGGATTTCCTGCTTATACCCTCCTAACTCCGGGAATCTTCCAACTGGGATTTCTGGAAAACCAAGGAATTTGGGGAATGTTACTGGAATTTTTGCAACCCTAGGTTAAAAGTATTTCAGCATTCAACAATACGGTGCAATGGTGCTTCCATTCAGATTGATAAAAATGATAGGTAATGCTTCATTTTAAGGGGTCCTTATTACAGTGTAATTACATGTGTAATTACACTAACAAGAATTGTAGTTAACTGTAACATCTCATAGTTACAGTGTAATAACAACATGTAATGTAGTAATTGCAGTATGTAATTACAAAGGTGTACCCATGAATGCTTGTTACCATGCTTGTTACAAATGGGCAGGTTTCCACTAAATGAACCAACTTACTGTTTTGCTTCTTCTCAGCTTTGCACACTCTTGGCAATCTCTCAACCAGCTTCATGAGGTAGTCACCTGGAATGCATTTCAATTAACAGGTGTGCCTTCTTAAAAGTTAATTTGTGGAAATGATTTCCTTCTTAATGCGTTTGAGTCAATCAGTTGTGTTGTGACAAGATAGTGGGGGTATACAGAAGATAGCCATATTTGGTAACAGACCAAGTCCATATTAAGGCAAGAACAGCTCAAATAGGCAATGAGAAACGACAGTCCATCATTACTTTGAGACATGGTCAGTCAATATGGAAAAAGTCAAGAACTTTGAAAGGTTCTTCAAGTGCAGTCGCAAAAATCATCAAGCGCTATGATGAAACTGGCTCACTTGAGGACCACCACATGAATGGAAAACCCAGAATTACCTCTGCTGCAGAGGATAAGTTCATTAAAGTTACCAGCCTCAGAAATTGCAGCTCAAATAAATACTTCACAGAGTTCAAGTAACAGAAAAATCTCAACATTAACTGTTCAGAGGAGACTGTGTGAATCAGGCCTTCATGGTCGAATTGCTGCAAAGGAACCACTACTAAAGGACACCAATAATAAGAAGAGACTTGCTTGGGCCAAGAAACACGAGCAATGGACATTAGACCTGTGGAAATGTGTCCTTTGGTCTGGAGTCCAAATTTGTATTTTTGGTTTCAACCGCTGTGTCTTTGTGAGACGCTGTGTGGGTGAAAGGATGATCTCCGCATGTGTATTTCCCACCGTAAAGCATGGAGGAGGAGGTGTTATGGTGTGGGGGTGCTTTGCTGGTGACACTGTCTGTGATATATTTAGAATTCAATGCACACTTAACCAGCATGGCTACCACAGCATTCTGCAGCGATACGCCATCCCATCTGGTTTGGGCATAGTGGGACTATAATTTGTTTTTCAACAGGACAATGACCCAAAATACCTCCAGGCTGTGTATGGGCTATTTTACCAAGAAGGAGAGTGATGGAGTGCTGCATCAGATCACCTGGCTTCCACAATCCCCCGACCTCAACCAAATTGAGATGGTTTGGGATGAGTCGGACCGAAGAGTGAAGGAAAAGCAGCTAACAAGTGCTCAGCATATGTAGGATCTCCTTCAAGACTGTTAGAAATATTTCTCAAGAGACTGGAACTTGTGAATTCAAAAATTAGACAGTGGGGAAAAAAAGTATTTAGTCAGCCACCAATTGTGCAAGTTCTCCCACTTAAAAAGATGAGAGGCCTGTAATTTTCATCATAGGTACACGTCAACTATGACAGACAAATTGAGAGAAAGAAAATCCCGAAAATCACATTGTAGGATTTTTTATGAATTTATTTGCAAATTATGGTGGAAAATAAGTATTTGGTCACCTACAAACAAGCAAGATTTCTGGCTCTCACAGACCTGTAACTTCTTCTTTAAGAGGCTCCTCTGTCCTCCACTCGTTACCTGTATTAATGGCACCTGTTTGAACTTGTTATCACTATAAAAGACACCTGTCCACAACCTCAAACAGTCACATTTACATTTTAGCAGACGCTCTTATCCAGAGCAACTTACAGTTAGTGAGTGCATACATTATTTTTTTATACTGGTACCCCGTGGGAATCAAACCCACAACCCTGGCATTGCAAACGCCATGCTCTACCAACTGAGCTACACCCCTGCCGGCCATTCCCTCCCCTACCCTGGACGACGCTGGGCCAATTGTGCGCCGCCCCATTGGTCTCCCGGTCGCGGCCGGTTACTACAGAGCCTGGATTCGAACCAGGATCTCTAGTGACACAGCTTACACTGCGCTGCAGTGCCTTAGACCACTGCGCCACTCGGGGACCTTTTTGAGTCACACTCCAAACTCCACTATGGCCAAGACCAAAGAGCTGTCAAAGGACACCAGAAACAAAATTGTAGACCTGCACCAGGCTGGGAAGACTGAATCTGCAATAGGTAAGCAGCTTGGTTTGAAGAAATCAACTGTGGGAGCAATTATTAGGAAATGGAAGACATACAAGACCACTGATAATCTCCCTCGATCTGGGGCTCCACGCAAGATCTCACCCCATGGGGTCAAAATGATCACAAGAATGGTGATAAAAAATCCCAGAACCACACGGGGGGACCTAGTGAATGACCTGCAGAGAGCTGGGACCAAAGTAACAAAGCCTACCATCAGTAACACACTACACCGCCAGGGACTCAAATCCTGCAGTGCCAGACGTGTCCCCCTGCTTAAGCCAGTACATGTCCAGGCCTGTCTGAAGTTTGCTAGAGTGCATTTGGATGATCCAGAAGAGGATTGGGAGAATGTCATATGGTCAGATGAAACCAAAATAGAACTTTTTGATAAAAACTCAACTGGTCGTGTTTGGAGGACAAAGAATGCTGAGTTGCATCCAAAGAACACCATACCTACTGTGAAGCATGGGGGTGGAAACATCATGCTTTGGGGCTGTTTTTCTGCAAAGGGACCAGGATGACTGATCCGTGTAAACAGTGTGTGAAAACCTTGTGAAGACTTACAGAAAACGTTTGACCTGTGTCATTGCCAACAAAGGGTATATAACAAAGTATTGAGAAACTTTTGTTATTGACCAAATACTTATTTTCCACCATAATTTGCAAATAAATTCATAAAAAATCCTACAATGTGATTTTCTGGATTTTCTTTTCTCATTTTGTCTGTCATAGTTGACGTGTACCTATGATGAAAATTACAGGCCTCTCTCATCTTTTTAAGTGGGAGAACTTGCACAATTGGTGGCTGACTAAATACTTTTTTCCCCCACTGTAGGTCTTTAATTCTACAACATATGTACTTGAAAATCATCTATATGAGTAGGTGTTCTAAAACTTTTGACCGGTAGTGTGTATATATATTTTTTCAAATAGATTTCAGCTCAATCAATATTTCATGTATAATAGTGAAAACAGGCATTTCCTTCCAATGGGCTCTTTTAGAATAGTAGTGTTTTGGATGATGTCTGTGTGTAATGGGAGATTATATTTCTGATCATTATTTACACTTTTACGCACTCCTATCTGGTCCTCTCTGTTGACTATCGGCTGCCCTGTCAATAATATATTTCACAACAATATAGACAGTATATTGTTGTGTAATCGAATATAGTCAATTTATCATCTCTCTCTCGCTTTCTCTGTCTCTCTCTCTCTCTGTGCTGTGGCCGCGCCTATAGGCCTGGCTGCTGTGGCTTTAAGAAGTCTGTTCTGTTGGCCCCTCATTGGATGTTACATGCAGACTGTGCACCAATAGTGTGCAGAACTGTACAAAGAGATCTACTCCCTCCCCCCAGCCTCAGCACCGTAACCCTTACAATACTCAGAGCTGGAGGAGAGAGAGGGACGCGCTCACACAGACGAATATATCATGTCATTTAAACACATTATCCTTTCCGATATCCAAACTTTTGAAAAATGCTAAATGGAATATTTATTCTGGAGATGTGTTTTGATATGAAGCTCTTCGTTCTGGACAGTATTTCAATAGAAATTGTGTTATAACCGATCAGGGATGACAAAGACAATGGGATACCGAGACTGGAGATGGCTGGCTCTTTGGTGGCATCATTTCTTTCTCTTGTGGAGTACAATAGACGGACAGACTCGCTACACCATCCCGGAGGAACTGAAACAGGGCTCTGTGGTAGGAAATCTAGCCAAAGATCTGGGTTTGGGACTATCTGAGATCTTTGACCGTAAGCTGCGTGTCGCCTCTGAGGCTGGTAAGCAGTATTTCAGTGTGGATGCGGGGAAGGGCGAGCTGGTCGTGAATGAGAGAATAGACAGAGAGACTTTATGCGGACAAAGCGCCAGCTGTGTTTTACCTCTGCAGGTTGTCATTGAGAACCCGTTACAGTTGCACCGTATTGAGGTGGAAATACGAGACATAAATGACAATTCGCCTAGTTTTCTTACAAAGGAGCTCACAGTGAAAATTGTCGAATTGACTGTTGCAGGCGCACGTTTTCCTTTGGAGAGTGCAGAGGACCCTGACGTGGGCAGTAATTCCCTTAAATCCTATACTATTAGTAAAGATGAGTGTTTTACGTTGAAGGTAAAGGAGCTTGGTAATGGAAAGAAAATACCAGAACTAGTTTTAGAGAAACCCTTAGACCGAGAGAATAAATCTGTCCATAAACTACTGTTAACAGCTCTAGACGGAGGCAATCCTGTCAGATCCGGGACTGCACATATAACTATTACTGTGCTTGACGTAAACGATAATTTTCCAATATTTGAAAAGTCTGTGTACAAAGTTTCTATCTACGAAAATAGTGCAAAAGGGACATTTTTGATTAAACTTAAAGCGACAGATATTGACGGGGGTCAAAATGGGGAGATCAAGTATTCGTTTGGTGAGCGCACCCCTGAGTCTGTGCTTTCTACATTTGATATGGATCCGGACACAGGGAATATTTTTTTGAAGGGGGATTTAGATTTCGAAAGTGCTACAACATATGAAATTGATATCACGGCTAGAGATAAAGGCACTCCTGAAATGGAGGGACACTGTCGCGTGCAGGTAGAGTTAATAGACGTTAACGACAATTCGCCTGAAATTGTCCTCACTTCCCAACCAAACCCGGTGCGCGAGAACGCGCCCAGTGGCACGGTAGTAGCTTTGATTAGTGCCCGGGACCTTGACTCCGGTAATAACAGTAAAGTGACGTTACAGCTCCCGAGAGGTTATCCTTTTAGTCTGAAACCGTCCTTTTCTAATAATTACGCACTGATCACAAGTGGTGTTTTAGACAGAGAGAGCTTCTCAGAGTATAATATTGAGATAACTGCCACTGATTCGGGCTTCCCTCCCCTGACTACCAAGACAACTATACCAGTCAGTATCATTGATGTCAACGACAACCCCCCTAAATTCACTCAGCCCTCCTATAATGTCTATTTAAAAGAGAATGGACTACCAGGCTCCATGCTCTCCTCAGTATCCGCATCTGACCTGGATTTTGGGGATAATGCCAAGATCTCCTACTCCATCCTAGACTCCAAAGTGCAGGACGTGTCTGTGTCCTCCTATGTGTACATTAACTCTGATAATGGCAGCATCTACAGCATGCAGTCATTTGACTATGAGAAACTGAAGGTGTTTCAGATTCTGGTGCAGGCAAAGGACCACGGCTCTCCCTCTCTGAGCAGCAACGCCACTGTCCATGTTTTTATCTTGGACCAGAACGACAATGCCCCCGCTGTTATTTACCCCTCCCCTGCCCTGGGCTCGCTCTCTCACCAGAAGATGCCCCGCTCCGCTAAAGCAGGCCACTTGGTTACTAAGGTAACGGCCGTGGACTCAGACTCCGGCCATAACGCCTGGATTTCATATAAGCTTGCGGTGGCCACAGACGCGTCTCTGTTCAGTGTCAATCTTTACACAGGGGAGGTGAGGACTAAACGCGCTGTGTCCGAACAGGACGACTCCTCTCAGAGACTGCTTATAGAGATAAAGGATGACGGGGAGCCGGTCCAATCCGCCACGGTCACAGTGACCATACTGGTAGATGACGGGCTCCACGAACCCATCTTGGACCTCCGGCAGAAGGTGCCAGAGCCAAGCAAGAAAAGCGGGAGAATCACCCTGTATTTGATCCTCTCTCTGGCCTCGGTGTCCGTGCTGTCTCTGGTGACTTTTGTCATCTTAGCGGTCAAGTGCGTTAGAAACAGCAGGAGCAGCGGTAGTTGCTGCATGAGACGGGAGGACTTTGACGGCTACAAGAACCCCAACAGAAACCTTCAGATCCAGCTCAACACTGATGGGCCTATTAAGTACGTGGAGGTCCTGGGAGGGGACATGTTGTCTCAGAGTCAGTCCTTCAGGTCCTGTCTCTCTCCCATGTCAGAGTTCAGTGACTTCACCTTCGTTAAGCCCAGCAGCACCACTGACTTTAAGGAGATGATCAACGTCCTAGACGCGTCTTTACCTGACAGCGCCTGGACCTTTGAGAGCCAGCAGGTGAGCACTGTAGTGACGTGTAGTTTAATTGTTACACTTGGCTATTGATAACAACCTATTTTCTGTATTCTGCTCTGTGATGCTTGTTAATTTGTGACGGATAGGCTATCCATCATATAATTAGGAATTAGAATACTAGGATCTCTATGCTGTCAACCATAGTATTGTAATTTAATAGGATCTCTGTGCTATCAAACCATGAATCGTTTTTTATTTCGTAAGTCGAAGTTTGCCTTTCTGGTGGTATTTGGTTCTGGTCTTTCTGATTTAATACGAAATTATATATTGGCAGTAATGGGCTATGGGTTATAATTGAATACCTGTATTTATTGTAGGATCAAGAAAAAATGCTAAAATTGTGTGTTTTCCAGATTAATCCAAGTTCTCATGTGTATTATTTAGCCGCTGACATATGGCCAAGTTTATAATAGGCCTATTAAGTACATACAAAATATCAAATTGCTTATGTGTTGTGCATAATGTTTGCTCTATTAGGGCTGCGTTATCTAAAAGGCTCTGGATTTCAGCACCATTGTTGTGGACAGCGACACACTCGGGTTGCTGAATCAACTGTGCGGTTTTGTGGAAGCGATTGCAAACACAGTTTTAGAGACCGTGATATAGATGGTTGACAGAGACATGCTTTTAGGATTTATTAATTTTTTCAGAATAAGTGCTGCTCAGTTAATATTTATACATACTCTGCGTATATAATCTTCACGTAAATATTTTTTAAATATTTGTTTAATCCTGTTTTACACGTTTACTCATTCTTTAGGACTCACTAAATGCTGTCCTTACTAATGTATTTATTTTACCACCAATATGGACAGTAGGGGAGAGTGGGGTAAATTGAGCAGTTTTTTATATTCAGCGTCACTCTGTCAATGGACATATAGTATTCTTTCTAACAAAGATACAGTACCTACATATATTTCAGAATGTTGTGTATCCCAGGAAATAATCCGAATTCATTTAAACAGTACCGTTTTTAAAACATAGTTTGTCCAAAAAGGTTGGTCTCTTGGCAAAACTTAGTTGTGTAAGTTGAGCCGTTGGACAGGGTAAGTTAAGGCGCCTATACACATTTCTGTACTGAATGAAATATTACCACTACCTTTTTAAAACCATGTGTATCTTTTTTCCCAAAACACAATTCAACACAATCACAATTGCTTTTTTGTCTTTTAATAATTTTTAAGCATGTTTTAACGCCGACTTTAACACCTAATAAACACTTTGCACTTTTCTAAACACTTTTAGCATAGGCCAGGCCCTGTTGTTACCTCATATCCCAGCAATAATGCCTTGCATTACACCTGGGAAGAAAACACATAGATTTTGCTCAACTTGCCATTGGCACAACCATTGGCTCAACATTTTGGCAAACAGGCAAACATTTTGACTATATTAGCCCACACAGCTACTGTACAAGGAAGCACTTTCATGCTAGGTTTAGGACCTCATATTGAAGCTTATAGATATCTTAACTGATGAATAGAACAATCTTAAAATTATCTACTTTGGTTTAGACACAAGTATCATGAACCTCTAACACAATACATTTATTTGACTTGGTGAAAATCCGTTTTTTGGACATAACATGCTTACAACTTTTTCCATGTGGTTTCTTCCTTCACAGACTCCATGAAATGATAACATTTTCTTAAACATTTGGTCAAATTATGCTTTTTGTGTATGGTTTCCTAGAAACAAGGCAGCTCAACTTACCCCTTTGGCTCAACTTACCCCACTCTCCCCTATGCTATATTGTATAATGAAAAACACAGTCACTTTATCTTCTCCCTCTCTCTATGCCAGTTAAAGTGCTTAGGCAGAGCATGGCTGCTGTGGCTTTAAGAAGTCTATTCTGTTGGCCCCTTATTGGATGCTAGAGCTGCACAATGTGAACCAATAGCATGCAGAACTGTACAAAGAGATCTACTCCCTCCCCCCAGCCTCAGCACCGTAACCCTTACAATACTCAGAGCTGGATGAGAGAGGGGGAATGCGCTCACACACACGGAGACACAATATCATCTAAACACTTTATCGTTACCATGATACAAAATTAATAGAAAAATGCTAATTGGCATATGCTCCTGGAGATGTATTTTTATATGAAGCTCTTCGTTCTGGACAGTATTTCAATAGAAATGGTGTTATAACGGATCAGGGATGACAAAGACAATGGGATACCGAGACTGGAGATGGCTGGCTCTTTGGTGGCATCATTTCTTTCTCTTGTGGAGTACAATAGACGGACAGACTCGCTACACCATCCCGGAGGAACTGAAACAGGGCTCTGTGGTAGGAAATCTAGCCAAAGATCTGGGTTTGGGACTCTCTGAAATTTTTGACCGTAAGCTGCGTGTCGCCTCTGAGGCTGGTAAGCAGTATTTCAGTGTGGATTCGGGGAAGGGCGAGCTGGTCGTGAATGAGAGAATAGACAGAGATACTTTATGCGGACAAAGCGCCAGCTGCGTTTTACCTCTGCAGGTTGTCATTGAGAACCCGTTACAACTGTTTCGTGTCGAGGTTGAAATACAAGATATAAATGATAATTCTCCAAGTTTCCCTTCCAAACAACACCCGTTAGAGATAGCTGAATCAACTGCGGCAGGTGTACGTTTTCCCTTGGAAAACGCACAAGACCCAGATGTGGGGAGTAATTCTCTAAAATCATACATACTTAGTAAAGATGAATGTTTTACTTTAAAGGTAAAAGAACTCTCTGGCGGCAGAAAGGTACCAGAACTAGTCCTGGCCAAAGCTCTGGACCGAGAGAAAAAAGCTGTCCATCAGCTATTATTAACAGTTCTAGACGGGGGCAACCCAGTGAGATCCGGAACCTCGCAGATAACTATTACAGTTCTCGATGCAAATGATAATGTTCCAGTTTTTGAAAATCCATTGTATAAAGTTTCTGTAAGTGAAAATAGTGCAGAGGGCACTTTCATAGTTAATCCTAGAGCGACAGACGCCGATGACGGACAGAATGGAGAGATAGAATATTCGTTCGGTGTCCACACGCCAGACTCGGTGCTATCTGTGTTTGAGATTGATTTTCTAACAGGAAAAATCATTTTAAAGGGGCAATTAGATTTTGAGAGCGCTGCAAATTATGAAATTGACATCAGTGCGAAAGACAAAGGTAGCCCTAGAATGGAGGGGCATTGTAGTATGCAGATAGATGTAGAAGATGTAAATGATAACTATCCCGAAATCATTTTAACCTCCAAACCAAGTCCTCTGCGTGAGGACGCACCCAGTGGCACGGTAGTAGCTTTGGTCAGTGCCCGGGACCTAGACTCCGGGAATAACGGTAAAGTAACCTTACAGCTCCAACGAGGTTATCCTTTCAGTCTGAAACCTTCCTTTTCTAATAATTACGCACTGGTCACAAGTGGTGTTTTAGACCGAGAGAGCTCCTCGGAGTATAATATTGAGATAACAGCCACTGATTCGGGCTCCCCTCCCCTGACTACCAAGAAAACTATACCAGTCAGTATCATTGATGTCAACGACAACCCCCCTAAATTCACTCAGCCCTCCTATAATGTCTATTTAAAAGAGAATGGACTACCAGGCTCCATGCTCTCCTCAGTATCCGCATCTGACCTGGATTTTGGGGATAATGCCAAGATCTCCTACTCCATCCTAGACTCCAAAGTGCAGGACGTCTCTGTGTCCTCCTATGTGTACATGAACACTGATAACGGCAGCATCTACAGCATGCACTCGTTTGACTATGAGAAACTGAAGGTGTTTCAGATTCTGGTGCAGGCAAAGGACCACGGCTCTCCCTCTCTGAGCAGCATCGCTACTGTCCATGTTTTTATCTTGGACCAGAACGACAATGCCCCCGCTGTTATTTACCCCTCCGCTGCCCTGGGCTCGCTCTCTCACCAGAAGATGCCCCGCTCCGCTAAAGCAGGCCACCTGGTTACTAAGGTAACGGCCGTGGACGCAGACTCGGGCCACAACGCTTGGATCTCGTATAAGCTTGCGGAGGCCACAGACGCGTCTCTGTTCAGTGTCAATCTTTACACAGGGGAGGTGAGGACTAAACGCGCTGTGTCCGAACAGGACGACTCCTCTCAGAGACTGCTTATAGAGATACAGGATGACGGGGAGCCGGTCCAGTCCGCCACGGTCACAGTGACCATACTGGTAGATGACGGGCTCCACGAACCCATCTTGGACCTCCGGCAGAAGGTGCCAGAGCCTAGCAAGAAAAGCGGGAGAATCACCCTGTATTTGATCCTCTCTCTGGCCTCGGTGTCCGTGCTGTCTCTGGTGACGTTTGTCATCTTAGCAGTCAAGTGCGTTAGAAACAGCAGGAGCAGCGGTGGTTGCTGCATGAGACGGGAGGACTTTGACGGCTACAAGAACCCCAACAGAAACCTGCAGATCCAGCTCAACACTGACGGGCCTATTAAGTATGTGGAGGTCCTGGGAGGGGACATGTTGTCTCAGAGTCAGTCCTTCAGGTCCTGTCTCTCTCCCATGTCAGAGTTCAGTGATTTCACCTTCGTTAAGCCCAGCAGCACCACTGACTTTAAGGAGATGATCAACGTCCTAGACGCATCTTTACCCGACAGCGCCTGGACCTTTGAGAGCCAGCAGGTGAGCAGTGAACTGTAGCATTGTGACAAATTGAATTATTGGATGTAGACTGTTTTGTGAGGTATGATATTAACATACACACAACATGCGTGTCTTTTTGTGTTTCAACATTCCACAACTCTAAACTTTGTTCTTTTGGCAGTATTGTCATTTACGCAAGATATTAATATTATGGTAGGTTATCCTTTAGACTATGCCTGATACAAAAGCCTGTAAATAAACAATGAATAGTTTTACCACTGAAGTCGCAGTGAAACTTTTAATTCAAACGGCACTTTTCCCGATTGTAATAGTTTCCCCATAGAACAAAATGCTGCAATGATGGTTCCCTTCAGATTTATCAAAATTCTATAATATTCAATTCATTATGCTACCCTGTTGATTGTAACCATTAGAGAGCTATTGTGTCATCTATATAGTTACTGTATTGGCTGTGTAGCGTCATTCTGTGTCTTTCTGACTGGCTATTGGACGCTTATGGGTTTCAGCACCATGGACAGTGACCTGGCTGAATGAACTGTGTGGTTTTTGTGTGTAAGAGGGCAGACAGACATTCTAATACAATTGCTGTAAAATATATATTTTTCAGATTGATTGAAGCTCAGTCGATTTTCTATGCAAACTATAATCGTCAAAAATGTGTTACCTTCCACGGGCTCTTTTAGAATGCCAGTATTTTGGATAATGTCTGTGCGCAATGGGATACTATATTTTTGAACATGTCTTACACGTCTACGCATTTTTATCAATAGGTTATGGGCTGCCCATAATATATTTCCAACGAGCCAATATTAACAGGGTGATTGTATATTCGAAAACATAGTACTTTTACCCGCTCTCTGTGTTGTGGTACATCAGATAAACATCTACATTTAGGCTGGCTGATGTGGCTTTAAGGAATCTATTCTGTTAGCCCCTTATTGGATGCTAGAGATACACGCTGTGCACCAATAGCATGCAGAAATGTACAAAGAGATCTACTCCCCCTGCCTTCTACTCCTTCCCCCCAGCCTCAACACCTAACACTTACAATTCTCAGAGCTGCAGGAGAGAGAGGGGGATGCGCTCACATACACGGAGATGGAATAAAATCTCAACACAACATTATTTTTGCTATACAAAATTTATGGAAACATGCTAAATGGATTATACACACTGGAGATGTATTTTGATATGAAGCTCTTCGTTCTGGACAGTATTTCAATAGAAACGGTGTTATAACGGATCAGGGATGACAAAGACAATGGGATACCGAGACTGGAGATGGCTGGCTCTTTGGTGGCATCATTTCTTTCTCTTGTGGAGTACAATAGACGGACAGACTCGCTACACCATCCCGGAGGAACTGAAACAGGGCTCTGTGGTAGGAAATCTAGCCAAAGATCTGGGTTTGGGACTCTCTGAGATCTTTGACCGTAAACTGCGTGTCGCCTCTGAAGCTGGTAAGCAGTATTTCAGTGTGGATGCGAGGAAGGGCGAGCTGGTCGTGAATGAGAGAATAGACAGAGAGACTTTATGCGGACAAAGCGTCAGCTGCGTTTTACCTCTGCAGGTTGTCATTGAGAACCCGTTACAGTTGCACCGTATTGAGGTGGAAATACGCGACATAAATGACAATTCACCTAGTTTCTTAACAAAGGAGCTCACATTGAAAATAGCAGAATCGACAGTTGCGGGCATGCGTTTTCCTCTGGAGAGCGCGGAGGACCCAGACGTTGGAAGCAATTCGCTCAAGTCCTATACTATTAGTAAAGATGACTGTTTTAGTTTAAAAGTAAACGAGCTTCGTAATGGAAGAAAATTCCCTGAACTGGTCATAGACATAGCACTTGATAGAGAGAAAAAAGCTGTCTATCAGCTGCTGTTAACAGCGTTAGACGGAGGCAATCCGGTCAGATCCGGGACTTCACAGATAACTATCATAGTGCTTGATAACAATGACAACGTTCCCCTATTTGAAAACAATGTATATAAAGTGTCCATTAACGAAAATAGTCCAAAGGGTACCTTTATGGTTAAACTTAAAGCGACGGATAATGACGAAGGACAAAATGGTGAGGTAAAATACACATTTGGTGAGCGTACACCTGAGTCCGTGCTTTCCAAATTTGATATTAATCCAGATACGGGGGAAATGTTTTTGAAAGGTGAATTAGATTATGAAAGCGCTGCAAATTATGAAATTGATGTAGCTGCTAAAGATAAAGGAATTCCGGAGATGGAAGGACATTGTAGCGTGCAGGTGGAAGTAATAGATCTGAACGACAACCCTCCAGAAATTGTCCTCACCTCCAAACCGAGCCCGGTGCGCGAGGACGCTCCCAGTGGCACAGTAGTGGCTTTGATCGGAGCCCGGGACCTAGACTCCGGGGATAACGGTAAAGTAACGTTACAACTTCCAAAAGGCCATCCTTTTAGTCTGAAACCTTCTTTTTCTAATAATTACGCACTGGTCACCAGCAGTGTTTTAGACCGAGAGAGCTTCTCAGAGTATAATATTGAGATAACAGCAACTGATTCGGGCTCCCCTCCCCTGACTACCAAGAAAACTATACCAGTCAGCATCATTGATGTCAACGACAACCCCCCTAAATTCACTCAGCCCTCCTATAATGTCTATTTAAAAGAGAATGGACTACCAGGCTCCATGCTTGCCTCAGTATCCGCATCTGACCTGGATTTCGGAGATAATGCCAAGATGTCCTACTCCATCCTAGACTCCAAATTGCAGGACGTCTCTGTATCCTCCTATGTGTACATTAACTCTGACAACGGCAGCATCTACAGTATGCACTCATTTGACTATGAGAAACTGAAGGTGTTTCAGATTCTGGTGCAGGCAAAGGACCACGGCTCTCCCTCTCTGAGCAGCATCGCTACTGTCCATGTTTTTATCTTGGACCAGAACGACAATGCCCCAGCTGTTATTTACCCCTCCCCTGCCCTGGGCTCTCTCTCTCACCAGAAGATGCCTCGCTCCGCTAAAGCAGGCCACCTGGTTACTAAGGTAACGGCCGTGGACGCAGACTCGGGCCATAACGCCTGGATTTCATATAAGCTTGCGGAGGCCACAGACGCGTCTCTGTTCAGTGTCAATCTTTACACAGGGGAGGTGAGGACTAAACGCGCCGTGTCCGAGCAGGACGACTCCTCTCAGAGACTGCTTATAGAGATACAGGACGACGGGGAGCCGGTCCAGTCCGCCACGGTCACAGTGACCATCCTGGTAGAGGACGGGCTCCACGAACCCATCTTGGACCTACGGCAGAAAGCGCCAGAGCCCAGGAAGAAAAGCGGGAGAATTACCCTGTATTTGATCCTCTCTCTGGCCTCGGTGTCCGTGCTGTCTCTGGTGACTTTTATCATCTTAGCGGTCAAGTGCATTAGAAACAGCAGGAGCAGCGGTAGTTGCTGCATGAGACGGGAGGACTTTGACGGCTACAAGAACCCCAACAGAAACCTGCAGATCCAGCTCAACACTGACGGGCCTATTAAGTACGTGGAGGTCCTGGGAGGGGACATGTTGTCTCAGAGTCAGTCCTTCAGGTCCTGTCTCTCTCCCATGTCAGAGTTCAGTGATTTCACCTTCGTTAAGCCCAGCAGCACCACTGACTTTAAGGAGATGATCAATGTCCTAGATGCATCTTTACCCGACAGCGCCTGGACCTTTGAGAGCCAGCAGGTGAGCGGTGAACTGTAGCATTGTAAGGATTATGATTCCTGACTCTAGTGCCTTTAATATGACGTCCTATCATGAGGATTCAGAGTTGAGTTTTCCTATAGGCTATGATGTCATAATCAGTGAGTGGAGATCCACCAACCAACGTTCTATAGCCTATATTACCTTGGAAGTAATTGATGACGCAGCAGGACGAGGCGGAGCATATCAAACACAAGGCTACAAGCTAGCTAAATACACTGAACAAAAATATAAATGCAACATGCAACATTTAGTTGTCCCTGGTAGCTCAGCTGGTAGAGCACGGCGCTTGTACACCCAAGGTGTGGGTTCGATCCCGGGACCCCATACACTAAAAATGTATGCACGCATGACTGTAAGTCGCTTTGGATAAAAGTGTCTGCTAAATGGCTTATTATTATTTTTATTTTTTTTACTGAGTTACAGTTCAGATGAAGAAATCAGTCAATTGAAATAAATGTATTAGGCCCTAATCTATGGATTTCACATGACTGGGAATACATTACTTGGTCACAGATACCTTAAAAAAAGGTATTAGCATGGATCAGAAAACCAGTCAGTATCTGATGTGACCACCATTTGCCTCATGCAGCATTTCACATCTCATTTGCATAGAGTTGATCAGGCTGTTGATTGTGGCCTGTGGAATGTTGTCCCACTCCTCTTCAATGGCTGTGCGAAGTTGCTGGATATTGGCAGGAACTGGAACACACTGTCGTACACGTCGATCCAGAGCATCCCAAACATGGAAGAACTGGGACATTTTCAGCCTCTAGGAATTGTGTAACAAATCCTTGCAACATGGGGCTGTGCATTATCATGCTGAAACATGAGGTGATGGCGGCGGACGAATGGCACGACAATGGGCTTTCGGATCTTATCACGGTAGCTTTGTGCATTAAAATGGCCATAGATAAAATGCATTTGTATTCATTGTCCGTAGCTTATGCCTGCCCATACCATAACATCAATCAAATGCATTTGTGTTCAATGTCCGTAGCTTATGCCTGCCCATACCATAACCCTTCTGGCACCATGGGGCACTCTGTTCTCAACATTGACATCAGCAAACCGCTCGCCCACACAACACCATACATGCTGTCTGCCATCTGCCTGGTACAGTTGAAACCGGGATTCTTCTGTGTAGAGCACAGTTCTCCAGCATGCCAGTGGCCATCGAAGGTGAGCATTTACCCACTGAAGTCGGTTACGACGCTGAACTGCAGTCAGGTCAACAACCTGGTGAGAATGAGGAGTACACTGATGAGCTTCCCTGAGACGTTTTCTGACAGTTTGTGCAGAATATCTTCAATTGTGCAAACCCACAGTTTCATCAGCTGTCCGGGTGGCTGGTCTCAGACGATCCCGCAGGTGAAGAAGCCTGTGGAGGTCCTGGGCTAGCGTGGTTACACGTGATCTGCGGTTGTGAGGCCGGTTGGACGTACTGCCAAATTCTCTAAAACGATGTTGGAGCCGGCTTATGGTAGAGAAATGAACATTAAATTATCTGGCAACAGCTCTGGTGGACATTCCTGCAGTCAGCATGCCAATTGCACGGTCCCTCAAAACATGAGACATCTGTGGCATTGAGTTGTGTGACATAATTGCACATTTAGAGTGGCCTTTTATTGTCCCCACCACAAGGTGCACCTGTGTAATGAGCATGCTGTTTAATCAGCTTCTTGATATGCCACACCTGTCAGGTGGATGGATTATCTTGGCAAAGGAGAAATGCTCCCTTACAGGAATGTAAACAAATGTGTGCACAAAATTTGAGAGAAATAAGCTTTTTGTGCGTATGGAAAATGTCTGTTTATATTTTTGTTCAGTATAGTTTGTTGCTAGCAAACCTGCCAATATGGCAAACAAAAAATAAAATATCAGTTGCTGAAAACAGCTGGTCAAATTAGAAACATATGGGAGGAATTGACAGCATAGCGCCACTTGCGTCATGACTGTAACTGATGTCGCGTTCACGTGCTTGTCAGAACTAGGAAACTTGGACATTTCCGACTTGCTAACTGATTGAACACAGCATGTGTATAACTACTAGTCGGAAATTTCAGTTCCGACTAGCACGTGAACGCGGCAATAGGGACCGGAGAAATATATGGATTTATTTAGGCCTAAATCATAGCCTTATAATTTCCCGTTAAAGTATTTTGTCAATAGGCCTACAGTAGTAATTTGCACTGGATCAATCGTGATAAGTGCATATGTCATTCATTATCTGCTGTAGTAGGCCTAATCAGTAGCAATTTTAGCATGTCAATCTTGGTGGGGCAACAACAACAAAAAACTAGTGGGATGCATGCCAGCAAAGGCACTACACAACACAACACTAAACACTACATTAATTGCACTAGAACGGTGACAAACGGTGCTCACAAACTGTTAGGGCCTACATAAAGCTGTCCCAACATTTTACCACTGCTACACCTGGCTATCAGCGGAGCCTTGTCTGGCATCGAAATAGTTCAGTCAGCCTCATTTACTGCCTTTAAAAAAAACATAGCTGATATGGCTGACTTGCTTAAACAAATGTGGTTTCTAATGACAATTGAGATGTACAAACTATGGCATAAGGTGACGACTAACAGATAAGAGGCAATCCGTAATTTCGTTTAAGACATTAATGAGCGAGCTAGGACGGACGTAATTAATTTAACTATTTGTTTAGCACTTTTGAAATGTACAGCGACAGAATTCCGAACATGGGTAAATAGTTAAAGAGTGGTAAATAGACCAAATTATTAGGGTGAGGCACATGGGCTACTAACAGCTTACAACACAACATACACTTAGTATTACTTTCTTAGCTAGAGTATACATATCTCCCTGGCATATTACATCATTTATGCAGCAGCATACAATACATTTTTGGACTCAGCTTGTTGTGCTGTGCTCACTTAAACAGGAAGGTGGCACGGCGGTCCTTCGTGGGCAAATTTTGTCATCAAAGTCTGGCATTCTCTGGATTGCTGGTGCTTTCAAGACAACTGGGAACTCGGAAAAAAAGGTCAAATCATGATGATGTCATTGATCTTCAGGTCGTAGCTCTAGAAAGAGGCCCGAGTTCCGGATTTACAATTCCGAGTTGGATGATCGTTCAAAACGTATTTTCCCAGTCGGATCTCGTTTTTTCCCGACTTCCCAGTTGTCTTGAACTCACTGAAGTCAAGTTTTTGCAGTTCCAAGTTAACAGTTGTTTTGAGCGCAGCACAAATCATGCTTCATTGACAGCATGGCCAATGTTGAATGTTTATCATTTAAAACTTGGAAAAGAGACCGTTATTCCCAGATTTGGACCACATAGCCACTCCACTGAATAGTAGGCTAGTGTTTGCTTTGCAATGCTTGCAGTTAGCCACGGTCACTGATTCCTTCCAAACCACTCATTGTTGAATTTGCGATTTCCAACTTGTTGTGTAATGTTTATGTTCAATGGCCGATGAGCACCGATACGTTTTATCTATACTTTCTCTTCATTATTTCTCTTCATATGACAAGAATTAAAAAGGATTTGCCATTAGATTGTCGACTTGATTCATGATGATGACTGCTAGCTAAGATTTCGAAAGTATGATGTTGACATGATCAGTCCAATCAAAGCTACTGTAGATATAACGTGATTTGACATCATTTTATCTGTGGCCAATGACCTTGAGCCTTCTTTGATGAGCACTTCTAATGTAACTCTATGGCAGCCCCCAAGGGGCTTGAATTTTCGAGCTCTATCCTTATACTTGGCGGTGACATACTGTCCCCATGAGTGACAGAACACTGAGCTAATCATGGCACAACTAGAGAACAATACCAACCCCTACGCTCTGTATTTTCTGCTTGCTGCCCCACCACCACTGAAAGTATTGAGCTAGGCTGAAACACATGCATTTTGGAGCTGCCTTACTCAAGAAATAAAAAAAAACAATTTTTTTTTTTTTTTTTACATTGTTTGCAAACTGATATGTGACACGTATTAATAGCAAATTAACATGCAAAACAGGCAAGCCCCAAAAAAGTAATATATGTATTATTATTATTATTATTATTATTATTATTATTATTATTATTATATATTTATTTTGCAAAAAATGTGGGGCTCAAAACAGGTGGGGCTCTGCCCCACCTGCCCTGAGTGACGGGTCGCCACTGGGCCTAACACATACAAGGAGATGTAAGTAGGCCAATGGTTGTTATATTGGTTATCGATGACATTGCCGCCTCCTTGCCAAAATCAATCTCGGGTTTACATAATGACACGTGGTTCACGCGTTATCAACACCTCTGGAAAGTAAATAAGCGTTATCAACACCTCTGGAAAGTAAATAATTTGATAATCATGCCGCCTTGCGGCTAAGACTATCATTGCAATTTTACCATGAGTCCATCAGTTACTTTTCGTAACTTTGCTTATATTCAATGTAAGTAGTTCCGTTCGTTGACATAGCAACAAGTTCATACTTACTCTTGTGGTTTATACCCCCCCCCCCCCCCCCCCCCCCCCCTTGTTTGTTCCGGTCTGTGCATTAAGCGCTTGGAAATTGCATGAGTAGCTTTCTTGCAAAAATGTTTTTATTTTTTGCGTTCCATGGCCTCTTCGTTGTGCATTCTGAATTGTTTTGCTCTAAAAGTAATGTCTTTAGCGTGTAACATGTCTCTAACTTGATTGTAAGTGCAAAATAAGTGCCTCTAAAACGTTTTTACTCACTCTCTGCTTTGTGAGAGAGTTCTGTATGGGGAGCGAGTCCCGGCTTCTCGGCCAATAGGAAACGGGTCTTTGTGTCTGTGTCCCCGCCCCAGAGAGGAGCAGAGCAGAGGAGACGAGTGGGGAGAGTTTTAGTCGATCCTTCATGGAGTTTTACTTTTCCTCTTTTTTATTTTTCCTTATAGAATTAGGGCGTCATGATAACTTCTAAACTTCCCACCGCACTTTTTCTTAAACGGAAGTGTTTACCGACGGACTGGTAGCGTCGTTTTCCCGAGACTATAGATGAGTTACGGTAAAATAAGAACTTTTAACATTTTCCATCCCCCGGACCCCGCGGATCCCTCATAATGGAATCCAGACCGAGGAAAGGCTACGGAGGGTGGCCAGTGCTGAGGCTATGGTTTTCCCTGGCGTGCTTTACCGGCGCGACCGCGCAGCTCAGCTACTCTGTTTCGGAGGAGCTCAGACCAGGGGCTGTGGTCGGGAATATCGCTAAGGATTTGGGTCTCACCGTTCAAAGGATAATTCAGAGAAAATTGCGGGTGGTCTCGGAATCTAACGCGCAGTACTTCGAGGTAAATCAGGCGACTGGGGATTTTGTTATTAGACAGACAATTGACAGGGAACACATGTGCGAATTAAATCCAACATGTTCACTACATCTTGAGATTGTACTTGAGGACCCTTTAGCAATACATCGGGTTCTTGTGGATATTGTGGATGTGAATGACAATGCGCCGCAGTTTTCCAATAAGAATATTTCCTTGGAGATATCAGAGGCGGCCGCGCCAGGCACTCGGTTCCGACTGGAGAGTGCACACGACCCAGATGTGGGTATCAACTCTCTGCGCACTTATCACCTAGCACCCAACGACTGCTTTGTTTTGAATGTGGAAACGAAAAGTGACGGGAGTAAGATCCCGGAATTAGTTTTAGAGAAGGCTTTGGATAGGGAGACGCAGGCCTCGTTTCGCCTGTTGCTCACTGCGGTAGACGGGGGACAGCCGGAGAAGTCTGGCTCCACTCTTTTACTCATTAAAGTTCTGGATGTCAATGACAATGCGCCCGTCTTTGAAGAGCCGGTGAAAAAAGTTAGCATTTTGGAGAATGTTGAACCGGGCACTTTAGTAACGAAACTGAACGCGACCGACGCGGATTACGGTCAGAATGGTCAAATCTCCTTCCTGTTTAGTAAATACACGCCGGAACGTGTGCTCAAGCTATTCAGCGTGGATTCTAAAACCGGGGAGATCCGTGTGAATGGCCAGGTGGATTATGAGACAGCGAATGTATATCACATCACTGTGCAGGCCAGGGATGGGGGAACCCCCGCCATGGAGGGTTCCTGTAACATCATAGTTGACGTCACTGATGTGAATGACAATTCTCCAGAGGTAACGTTGACTTCACTGAAAAATCCCATCAGAGAGGATGCAGCTCCTGGTACAGTCATCGCCCTCATCAGTGCGAGGGACCTGGACTCTGGTAAGAACGGGGAGGTGACGTTAAAGGTCCAGTCTGGCCTGCCCTTCAAACTCAACTCTGCCTTTGGTGAGCACTACAATCTCATCACCAATGGCAACCTGGACCGAGAGAGCATGGCCGAGTACACTGTGGTCATCATGGCGACTGACGCGGGCTCCCCTCCCCTGTCGTCACGGACGACTTTCGTGGTCAAGCTCTCAGACGTGAACGACAACGCTCCTTCATTCTCCCAGCCCTCCTACTCCGTGGACGTCCCCGAGAACAACGCCCCCAGCACCCCCATCACCATGGTGATGGCCTCTGACCCGGACACGGGGGACAACGCCCGCGTCTCCTTCTCCATCCTGCCCAGCATGGTCCAGGGCTCCCCCATTTCCTCCTATGTCTACATCAACCCAGAGACTGGACACATCTACAGCATGCGCTCCCTAGACCACGAGATCCTCAATGCCTTCCGTATCGAGGTGCAGGCCCGAGACGCCGGGGCACCCCCCCGGACCGCCAACGTCACCGTGCATGTGTTCGTAGTGGATCTTAACGACAACGCGCCCCTCATCGTGTACCCCCCCTTCCCCCAGGATACGGGGCTGCAGCTCAGTGTACCCCAGTCGGCTGGGCCGGGTCATCTCATTAATAAACTAGTAGGGGTGGACCCTGATAGTGGACATAATGCCTGGCTGTTCTATTCCATCGCCCCAGGGCCACACGTTGGTCTCTTCCGCATTGCCCCCCACACTGGGGAGCTCCGCACCGCCCGCAAACTAGCCGAGGAGGAGGGCGGCTCCGCCTATGACATCATCGTGGTCGTCCAGGACAACGGCGAGCCCACTCTCTCCACCACTGTGGCCATCACAGTAACCGTGGAGGAGAAGGGCGCCAGCGACGCCGCCACGGACAACCGGAAGACGTCTGTGATGCGTCACACCGGGATGCCTGATATCACCCTGTACCTCATCATCTCGCTGGCCTGCGTCTCGGCCGTGTTCTTCCTCACCTTCCTCATCCTCATGGTGCGATGCCTCCGCCACCGCAGCGACCTTGGAGGGACAGGCTGCTGCTACAGCCACCACCGGCCCAGCAGGGCCCACCATCAGAGACCCAGCAAGGACCTCCACCTGCAGCTCAACACAGACGGACCCATCCGTTACATGGAGGTGGTGGGAGGGGCTCAGGACCCCCCAGGAACACGGAACCTACAGACCCTGCTACTCCACCATCTCCAGCCGAAGTGACTTTGTGTTTGTCAAGACGCCCATGATGAGTCACAACAACACCCTCAGCATGACGCTCAACAGGAAGCACCTAATGAACTCAGCCATTGAGGTGAGGGCACTGGGGGGAGGAGACAGGATATTGGCCAATAAAGTAATGGGAAAATCCCTTGACCAATGACATAGGTCTGTAAGTATTAGGTTATAACCAGTGACGGTGAAGGTTTTATCCTAAGATCGTGGTCTTTATTGACTTTGCTTACCCAATTGAGCCTGCTGACCTAGATTGTCAAAGTCACGTAGCAATGCAGTGTTTCTCCTAAAGCCTAGTGTTGTTGACCCTCATCCCTCTCTTAGGATGTGTGTGGTATAGTAGATAGCTCATGTAACTGTCGTCCTGCTAGCCAGTGAGGGGAGGAAATGAAGGAGAGGGGGAGTGCCTTAATATTTCATAGTAAATGCAGTCTCCCTCGCTCTCTCTGACTTCCAATTACTAAACAAGATCAGCAGGGAAGCAATGTTCTACAAGAGAATGAGGGAGAGAGGGAATGGATGGATAGGAGTGGAGAGAGGGAAGAGGGGTAGGGGGGAAGAGGGGATGGGGTGGTTTTGACAGATGTAGAGGAGAGTACCGACAGATAAAAATAGATACCAGAGGTAGAGTAATAGCATAGTGAGATAGGAAGTGGTGGGGAACCGGATGACAGAGAGAGAGGAAGAGAGAGGGGGGTGGAAAATAGGGGGGGGGGGGGGGGGTGAGGGAGTGGAAGGGGGAGGATGGAACAGAGGGAAGGAAAGAGAGAAAAGGGGGAATGAGTCAAAGAGTAAAGTAAAAAAAGGAATTCCAGGGGTCAGCGCTTGACCTCTCACTTCCTGTTGTCCTCTGAACCCTGATTGGTTCCATGCCATGTCTGAGTCACATGGCCAACCGTGACCTCGCCCTGTGTGGCTGTCTGTGTGCCTGTGGCAGCAGCTCTAGTCAAACATTCCCAAACCTCATTCCCAGAGCACTTGTTAGGAAATACCATTCCACTCTGTGTTCTGGGGTGTGGATGGAAAGTTATGTTCTGACTCTACATGCAGAGGACTCCTCCCTGTTCACTGACTAACTGTGTATATCTTGATTTCCAAGATGGCTGCCAGTGTTCTAGTTTTGATTCATGTCGAGAGACTCAGTGGCGTCTTTCTCCTTTTTAATTTGTTTAATCACTTTTTCATTTAGCCTAGCCAGTGATTATAGTTTTAGTAAAGTCCCTACAGGAAGAGGGCAGTGGGTAGTGTGCTGGTTAATTTGTGATAATGCCTCTTGTGTAGGCTATGTGTCTCTGGTGAATTACACAGCTTATATCTCATGATGGGAGAGCACAGGTGTTGTCCTGGTCATCTGTTTTTCTATTGGTCCGTTTTTCCTTTCGTGACTCTGTCATGTTCATCATGTCTCTCTCTCTCGGCGTGGTTCGGGTACCATCTGTCTCCCTTGCATTACGCACGTGTGCTGCAGTGACAGACGGACTGGCCTCTAATGGAGGTCCCCAGGGTCCCATTGTGACAGACAGAGGGACTTCTCCTCTCGTTTCAATAGCAGTGTGTAGTTTCTCCTCAAAGGCTTTTTGTGTATGGAACTGTCGGAGGGTGTAGTTGTAAACGTGTAGTAACGAGTGTGTAGTACAAGTACCCATATTCAGGGTATGTGGGTGCGGTCGCATTGAGAGGATGTAGCTAGATCGGTATGTCAGGGTCTGTGCACATGTTGGTCACAAGAAAGAGGCGGCGATTTCGGACGTTTGGAACTCACCAGGCTCAGAGCCAGAGCATGCTGCTTAGACCACTGCGCCATGGCAGTTCACAATTCTCTAGCAAGCAGGGAGAGTACTTGACGATACTTAATGGAAACAGCGTATTGTATTTAATTATATTGTTTTAAGCCTTCCCCAAGCCATAGCCCTAACCTTAACCACTTGATATTAATACCTAAACTGAGTTGTTTCTGTTTTAACCCTGTAACCATGCGGAATTAACCCTGTAACCACGCAGAATGAATGGGTTATCAACCAATTACAGTTTTGTAAATACTCTGTTCTTACGGATGAAGAAGCAGCACATGATGCCAATAGTCCTGCATGGCTCAGTGAATCCGTCCCTGAGTCATCTGCAGGATCATATGGGGTGTGACTGTGTCTCAGTGTGGTCCAGTGTGTCAGTATAAATCTCATCAAAAGCCTTCCTTTCATCTCTCATTTTGTCTCCAGTCCTGGTCTTAGCTTCCTGGTGGGTCCTACATTGTTGACCCTGTCACTAGGATCCATATAGCTTTTAGTATTAGGATTCATAATAATCTGTTTTTCCTCTAGTGTCATCATCAGAATGGCTTAGGGGGACAATGGAACTGAAAAGCATGTATTGTGATAGCTGGGAGAATATTTTGTGGAAGTTAGTGTGTGGGGATTTGTGTGGGAAGACTTCCTCTTTCAAACAGAGCACCAGGTGCAGTCTAGCCGCAATTCTGTCAACGCCAAGAGCTGTGGGTGTGCGTATGTGTATTTTGGTGTATGTGGGTGTGCGTATGTGTATTTTGGTGTTTGTGGGTGTGTGTTTGCGTTTGGAAACCGTAACTTCCTCACACGACACACAGCACCAGGTGGGGCCCAGCCTGTGTGAGAACCATGCCAGTGGAGGGTTTGTGTGTGAAGTGTGTTTGTGTGTGTTTCGGCGGGAATCCTGCTGTGAATGTCCGCCATTCATGAGATTCTGGCCAGTGCTCAAAGAGTTAACCTCTCATTGATCCACTGAACCAGATGTGCTTTCTTTTCTGGGTCGGACTCGACACACACACACACACACACACACACACACACACACACACACACACACACACACACACACACACTGGGATGGAGCCCAGATGTTAATGTCCAGTGATTAGCGCCTTTTCGCTCATGAGTCCAGAGCTATCACTCTATGATTGTCCTTCTCCACATCAGATAAATCCTCAGTCCATACAATTCTCTACCATTGTCTATACAAATATTACTGTTTTCATGTATACTGGCCAAAAATATGCAACAATTTCAAAGATTTTACTGAGTTACAGTTCATATAAGTAAATTAGTCAATTGAAATAAATGAATTAGGCCCTAATCTATGGGTTTTTACATGAGTAGGAATACAGATATGCATCTGTTGGTCACAGATACCTTTAAAAAAAGGTAGGGGTGTGGATCAGAAAACCAGTCCGTATCTGGTGTACCCACCATTTGCCACCACGGCGACACATCTCCTTCACATAGAGTTGATCAGGATGTTGATTGTGGCCTGTGGAATGTTGTCCCACTCCTCTTCAATGGCTCTGCGAAATTGCTGGATATTGGCCAGAACTGGAACACGCTGTCGTACATGTAGATCCAGAGCATCCCAAACATGCTCAATGGGTGACTTGTCTGGGGAGTATGTGTATACAGATCCTTGCGACATGGGGCTGTGCATTATCATGCTGAAACATGAGGTGATGGCGGCAGATGAATGGCACGACAATGGGCCTCAATATCTCGTCACGGTATCTCTGTGCATTCAAATTACCATCAATAAAATGCAATTCTGTTTGTTGTCCGTAGCTTATGCCTGCCCATACCATAACCCCACCGCCACCATGGGGCACTCTGTTCACAACGTTGACATCAGCAAACCACTAGCCCACACGACGCCATACACGTGGTCTGTGGTTGTGAGGCCAGTTGGACGTACTGCAAAATTCTCTAAAACAACGTTGGAGGTGGCTTATGGTAGAGAAATTAACATTAAATTATCTGGCAACTGCTTTGGTGGACATTCCTGCAGTCAGCATACCAATTGCATGCTCCCTCAAAAGTTGAGACATTTACATTTTAGTAGACGCTCTTATCCAGAGCAACTTACAGGAGCAATTAGGGTTAAGTGCCTTGCTCAAGGGCACATCGACAGATTTTTCACCTAGTCGGCTCGGGGATTAGAACCAGTGACCTTTCGGTTACTGGCACAACGCTCTTAACCACTAAGCTACCTGCCGCCTCGAGACATCTGTGGCATTGTGCTGTGTGACCAAACTGCACCCGTGTAATGATCACGCTGTTTAATCAGCTTCTTGATATGCCACACCTGTCACGTAGATGGATTATCTTGGCAAAGGAGATATGCTCACTAACAGGGAATTTGTGCACAAGATTTGAGCGAAATAAGCTTTTTGCGCATATGGAATATTTCGGGGATCTTTTATTTCAGCTCATGAAACATGGGACCAACACTTTACATGTTGCGTTTTATATTTTGGTTTACTGTAGTAGTAGCTTAGGGACATGAACAGGTTGTAAGGCAGTAGGTTCTCTACCTATTAGTGGAACTATGTCCAGTGATAGTGGTAACTGTGTTAGAAGTGGTCAGTCTGGTAAGTCTCTATGGATCAGAACAGGAGAACCATTATCCCTATCTGACCTCAGAGCAGACAGAGCTTCTCACTGAGGGAGTCCAGTGGGTTTGATCCACTCTGGTCACTTTCTGGTTTCTGACCTTAATAACTGACTCTGGATCAGCTATCTGGAGCACTGGTCCCTATCAGGAGGATTATGGGTTGGTTTCTTAGGGCAGATTTATTACACACTAGATACATAAACATGAACTTGAGAACGGTTGATGTTCTAACAGAAGGTTGTGCTCTTAGTAACGTCACTTGACCCTTATAATGTGTGAACTGTGAACGCACCTCAGTACAGTAACAGTGTAGGACATGCTTACTCAGAACTCATAGCGTCCCGGTGGAACGTGACCTTGAGAATGACCTCTGGGAGTGAGACAGGGTGTATATATTTTTGTGTGTGTCTGCAGTGAGCGTCACACAACTGGAATGTTGGGCCCCCTGCTCATTTTCAGATGGAAAATCACTTTTTCTCTTTTCCCCCTTTACTTCCATGGCGACTGCCGCCAAACCAGCACAGAGAAAGAGGGAAATATGCATCTGTCAATCTGTCTCTCAGATTAAGACAAAATACCCACTAGATGAGTGAAGAAGATTAAATTACACATCATTTAGAGGCCTATTCATAGTTCAAAGACCTGGGTGTTCCTGTTTTATTTACATTCTTGTAAATAAGATGGAACCAAATAGCCAACCACTGAAGATGGCTGCCACGAGTCCATCTGCTCGTCTGAATC